CTTCATATGCACCTTAGATGTCGTCAGTGGGTATCCCAGGTACATAGGACATGAGTCCGACTTTTCATCAAACCATTTGATGGTGGGAAAGCGTTCCCGCCATGGATCACTGGATCCATACATTGATATGCCTTCTGTCTTGCTAACATTGAGTTTTGCGTTGCTTCCAGCAGCGTAATCATTGTAAACCTCTAAGAGTTTGGAAAACTCCCAAAAATCATTGATGACCACCAGAATATCATCGGCATACGCCAGGTATGAGACTTTTTCCGTCAGCGGGACTTGAAAGCCATGAAGATTGTGGAGCAGTCCACGGAGCAGTGGTTCAATCATCAGGTTGAATAGCAAAGGTGATAGGGAATCTCCTTGACGAAGTCCTCGGCCTTGGGGAATGGGATCTGTCAGATGGCCGTTGATGCACACTTTGGTGGTGGATTCAAACAGTAATTGAGACAAGCAAGTCCGAAGTGATTCTGGAAATCCGAACCTGGCCAGTGTCTTTTCGAAATATCGGGGATGAACCCGATCATACGCTTTCTCTTGGTCAAGCGACAGCAAACAGGGTGGAACGTCTTTACGTCGCTGGGAGTCGGCTTTGGCATAATGCATGATGAGTTGGGCAGTCAGCGCATTGTCGGTGATGTATCGACCCCGGATGAATCCAGTTTGATATTTCTGGACACATTTTGCTACTGGTTCCGCTAGTCTGTTCGTGAGCAATCTTGAAAACATCTTACTGTCGGTATTGATTAGGGCGATGGGTCTCCAATTCTTGAGTTCAGCCCTCTCCCCTTTCTTGTGGATCAAAACGGTGCGAGTTTCCTTCCAGCTTGGAGGGAATGTTGCTTGTGTTAAAGCGTTGTTGAACTGATGACATAAGATGTCAGCTAAAATTGTGTGGCGGAATGTTTGGTAAAACTCATAAGGTAGGCCGTCGCTACCTGGAGCCTTGTTGGTGGGGGAGCATCGCATGGTCTCGAGTACCTCCTCTTTCGTGACATTCTCCTGTAACCAGTGTGCATCCTCTGTTGTGAGCGAGTTGAGTGGTATGTAGTCCAAAGTGCGGGACAGTTTCTTCTCGTCGATCGGTTCCGGAGTGAACAAGGTTCTGTAGAAGGAACTCGCTGCGTCTAGCATGTCGGAAGGTTGATCACAGCGTTGGCTAGTGATCGGGTGGATTAGCTCGGTTATCTGGGTTTGACGTTGGCGCTGGCGCAAGAGGGAGAAGAAGTACTTGTTTGACTGTTCTCCTTGTTCCTGCCATCGTATTCGGCTTCGCGTGATTTGTCCTTGGATCTTAGCCTTCCAGTGTTGGTCCAGCAATGCTTGAAGGAATTCTAGGCGATCTTGAGAATCATGATTCGGAACTTGGCGGTGAATATAAGCCAATTCATCGAGCTCCGCGGTTAGCTGCCTTACAACCGCCCTCTGTACTTTTGCTTTCATTTGGCTATACATTATGCAAGCTTGTCGCAATGCTTCCTTTAGGAGGTCGTAGTGTTCCGAGGTCAGTTGTGCAGGGGTCAAGTTCGCAAAAATGCCATCATAGGCAAAAGCAAAGTTGAGAGTATTTTCGATCAGTCTTCGAAATGGTTTGTCGTTGAGGATGGAAGTATTAAGTTTCCACCACCCTTTACCACGGGGCAGTTGGCTGGCAACCAGGCCTAAAGACACTGCATTATGATCTGAGATGAAGGGTGGGGAGTGCTGGAACCTAGGCATACTTGCGATGTTTTTGACGGTATCTCGTACGAGGATGTAGTCAATGCGAGAGTGGTGAGCTCCTCTGTTGAAGGTGGACTGGTCTTCGTGAAGGTTGAGGAAGTTGGAGGACAGCCATCTACCGTAGGTGCTTCGCCCTTCTCTTTTAGACAGGTCCAGGTTGAAATCTCCTAGGAGGATGGTTGGTATTGTGTGATCATTTATCCAGGGTTGTGATTGTAGCTGATGGAAGAAAATCTTTCGTTCCCGTTGCGATGCCGGCGCATATATGGCAACAAGAAGAATTTTTTCAAAGGGGAATGGTTGTTCGTCTTTGGGGATGATTTCCGCCGTTATTATGTTTTCTTGTATTATATTTATGTTTTCCAGTGTGAAGGATTGTGAGTAGGAGAGAATGGCCACCTGTGATGTCCAGACTGACTGGGCAGCTAGAGATTGTCGATGCCATTGGTCGTGATCGTCTTGTCTTGCATGGGTTTCTTGTAAGCATATAATGTGTCCGTCAAGTTGACGAATATATCGTAGTTTGGAGGCTCTTAATAAAGGGGAGCGGAGCCCTCTTATATTAAGAGTTTTTAGCTTTAAGGTGTCACACATTATTAAAGGTTACTTTGGGACGCGGTGCCATCCCTGCTTTGAGATTTCAGTCTCTGACTGCTGGTGTTGGACCTGCTTGATCTTTTTGGTGTTGCATGTATGGAGTTCCAGGACGATGATTGAGATGATCTTGTGGGTAGCGTGAGTACATCGTCGTCATCCGAATTGTCCAACGCCTCTATCATCTCTTCATCAAGTGGTTGCTGGCTATCAAGCCTAAGAATGTCAGCTTCGCTGGCGTCAATGCTATGGCCGTCTTCGGACATGCTGTCGTGCGTGTCGCTGTCGTGATCCTCTTCACTTGGGACATAATCTCCGTCTTCTTCCAGACCGTCTGTACCTTCTCCCGAATCCTCTGTACCCTCTCCTATTTTTTGAGTGGTTTGTAGTTTGTTGACTTGGGCTGGGAGTGGTTCCAGGTCTTCTTCATCTGACGAGATGATGCTGTTTGGGTCTTGAGCATTAGGATATGTGTATTGAGAATCCTCTCCACTCTCGTCTTTAGAGAAAGCAGAGTCGGCCTGTTCGGAAGGTTCTGGGGTGCTCTCGACAGAGTTTACTATGACCACCTGTGTGGCGGGTGTGGCTGAAGTAGTTGAAGCGGCTGCATCTAGGCTGAGTTTTCCTTGTTTGTTTGTTTGAGGGCAGTTGGCTTTAAGATGGCCAGGCTGTTGGCAAGTGAAGCAGGTTTTGAGGCCTTGAGCTGCCTGGGGTCGTACCGGGCAATCGGTTTTGGTGTGGCCAGCTTGGCGACAGTAATTGCAGGCAATAGGAGCATTAAGCCAGTGGGCTTGAATAGCCAGGTTCCATTCCGGGATCCTGATGAAAGGGCGCAGTGTGGCGAAGGGTGTATTGTTGATCGGCTTGGTATCTAACATAACAAAGCCTTCCCCACTATAGAGGTGATACTTACCATCCCCAATGGCTGTCTTGTAGATAGAAACGTTTTTAACAGTGCCAAAGGCTCCCATACTTTGCTTGAGGACCCGTACCAGGGATTCCTCACTGGGGTACAGAGGGAGGTGGCGGAGTTTGACTTTGGTCAGTTGGGCGGTCATCTCAATGGTTGCAGTGGCCTTGATGGTTTTGCCTTTATAGGCAATACCAGTCTCGGTCGCCTGCTTCCGGAGCAGACTGGCTTTGATTGGTTCAAACAGGACCTCGTAACACGCTGCCTGGTTACCTGAGAGTTTCTTAAACCCTCTAATATTCTCAACGCCGTACTGAAGTGATATGGCCTCCATGGGCTCGTTCTTTGGGAACGACGAAGCGACTGGAGAGAAGTCGAAAACTACTGCGCCTGGGTTGACACTCTTATGCCACACGTCGGCGGCCGTCAACCCGTTCTGGCTGGGGCCAGATCCGTTCCTGAACAGATTTTTCGTAACCGAGTGAGCATACGACATCGAACCCGTTACCGGTCTCTGGTTGGTGAGGCCAGG